TGCCAGTAAGGAAGGAAGCTAAACATTACTGCTTATGCTCTACCATGAATATAGTAAATAATGTTAAATACAAATATTATTTAATACAAATATTAAAATGTATATGAGGAGGTACAAGTATTGCTTTCTATAGAAAATGTTCATTTTCTTTTAATATATAAAGAAATAGACTTACTTGAAAAATAATTCCTCATCCACTTATTCTAATTTTTAAAATCTGGGCTTTTAATTTCTATGTGTGATCTGCTCTTTCTTTCCTGACTAGTTTAGTTCAAAATGTCATGTTTCTTTTACTTGGAAAGAATATAATGGATACCCTTTATTTATTGCCTCTTCATCCCTCGTAACTATTTACAGTTAAATTATAGGCTGAAGAATTTTCTTACCCCAAATGATTAAATTGTGAAAACATTTTATTGCTGTTATAGAATATTATTAAAATTGCTAAAATAATTTATTCAATGATAAATTTTTTACAAAATGGTGTATGTCAGCATGAGTTCCATGTGGTTAAATTGTGTTTGACTGAAAAAATGAATTTTTATTTCAAAATAAGATTCACTAGAGGAAATAAAATTTAAATTGTTTAATCAGTGATTCTGTATTATTAGTTATCAGCTAATTTTTCTACATGATAGGGGATTCTTTTGTTGTTGTTGTTCCTGGTGTTCATCCCAAATGTGGTGATGTGTAAAAGTCCTTTTTACTTAAGTAAATGATGATTTGTGTACTTAGAAAAAAAGTAAAAAAAAAAGGTCATCAGAATCTGGTTTGTGTTATTTAAAAATAAAACCTTTTCTGATTAAGTAATGTATGTTTGTTATTACATAAAGTTGGAAAAGACAAAAAAACAAGGAAATGAAAGTGGTACTCCTTCAGCATTTTTCTGTATAGGACTTGTTTGTGTATTTTACGAATGTGATAATACATGTAAAGAGCATAATTTAATTAAATAGAGATCAGAAATAATTTTGAAAATTTGGAAACAAACAAGATATTCTTCACTAGGGGACTGGATAAACAAACTGGTATATCTATGTAATGGACTCTTATACTATGATAAAAGTATGTGAACCATCTCAAGCCACAGAAAAACTTGGAAGAAACCTTAAATAAATGCTGAGTGAAAGGATCCAGTCTAAAAGGACTATGCTATATGATTCCAAATATATGACATTCTAAAAAAGGTGAAAAACTCTGGAAATAGTCAACAAAGATCAATGGTTGCCATGGTTTTGGATGGAAAGAGAAACAAGGATGTATTGTTGGAACACAGCATTTTTAGGGCAGTGAATCTATTCTATATGATAGTGTAATAGTGGTTATGTGTCATTAAAATCATTATTCATTTCCCAAACCCAGTAGAAATTATAACATAGAAAATGAATTCCAATATAAAATTGTGAGCTTTAAAAAAATCTAGTGTGGTAGTCAATGATACAACTAGACATAAATTATCTGTGTAAACATTCTAGATCTCAGGAAAAAATTTTGTAGTAGAATTAAAATACCTTATAGACCATGCTGTCTTTTTTGTGATGACTGAAATATTTTCATTGTTCTCCAACACAGTAGCTACTAGCCACATGTGACTGTTAATGCTTGAAGTGTGACTAATGTGTGTGAGAAATTGTATCTTGAATTTTGTTTCATTGTATTTACTTATACTATTAATAGCCTTGTGTGGCTAGTGATTAAAATTTGAAGACAAACAAGATAGAGAAATGTCAGCTGCTGATTAATACAGAGATTGAGTTAATATTTGATTGATGGGGGTTTGATTGGTCTCTCTTGAAAGAGGTTTTTTTGGAACTCTGGGTAGGTTTATATTTTACTTTAATGAGTTCTTTAATATTGAATAGATTGAAATAGAATGAAACTGATGAATCTTTCATAAATATTGAAATTTTATTTTTTAAAGTCTATTTTAGTGATTTAACATTTTATTTGTTCAACATTTTTTTTACTAACCTGTTAAACTGACCATAATTGTGTTTTATTTGGAAATAATGTTTTTTTTCTTTAAATCTTTGAATTAACCCATAATCCAAGCATGATTGTGATATTTATTCTGTGGTTTCACAAACCCCCAGCATATCTCTACATACCTCAATTTGAGAACAAATTTACAGTTCGTATAGAGGCCCATGGAATCTCTTGCTTTCAACCAGCTTTCATTATGTTTGTAGTATGGTTCTCCATGTCAGATTATTTACAAGCTTCTGTTACTTTATCTACTAAGGAATACTTTAATAGGTCATAGTGGCTATAACAACATCTACCAGGTAAAGGATGCTACCTCTCTACCCATCATGTCTTTAAATATCATATCCTTAAATTACAGTTGAGATCGTGAAACCTGTCTTTTCATTGCCTGAGAACTGCATTCTTTTTTAAACTCTGTAATTGATGTCTACTTCTGTACCAGAGCTAACTTTTCCTCTCTCTGTTTTCAGCTTGATAGCTTCTGGAAGTTGTGTAAGTGCATAGAACAGTGATCCAGACAGCTGTACTTCTACAAACAATCACTGTCAGTGCCAAATTAGTTTGTAGTGCAAATCTTGAATGAGAACTGCACCTGCTCTCAGTGTAGATGAAAATGGCAAATGTTGGGGAAAGCATAATTTTGGGATTATTTTAAATCTGATGGCAGCTGATCTCAGAATTCTTCTGGGGATTTTTTTTATCTTGGAGTAATGGAAGCCCTTCTATTCAGAGCCAAACAGCCCACTTACCTCTTTTGCTAGATCTTAGGTGTAGTATTCTTAAGAAATAATTTTTATATTGTGATTGCTGTCTAAGATGTTACATTAAAACTTATCTCCCAAATATACTGATGGTATCCTAAAATTATGTTTTGAACTAAAAAGTTCTGATCAGAATATCTGACTTATGTACAAACATTTTAGATTAAGTAACCTGGAGTAGCTAAAGTTAACTTGTGTTACAGTTAGATCTGCTAGATAAATTTTCTTATCCAAGGAATGGCTTTAAGAATTTGAGTTAATTTAAGAATTAATACATTCTTTGAGAATTCATAGGATACAAAGGACACTTCTTGTTGTATGCAGAAAACATTCCTATTACAGTTTGTTTGGAGTGTGGATTTTTGCATTTTCTGATTTTTTTTTTAGATATTTTTAATTTTTTAATTTTTTTTTACATCATTGTTCATTTTTAAACAATATTTACTTCCCCCCACCCCCTCAGGTGTAGTCCCAATAGAGTTTCCTTCACCAGTGCACCCGTGCTGCACCATCACCTCAGTCCCCTGTGCTCCTCCCTCCTTCCCTCTGATCCCTCTCCCTCCTCCTCCCCTGCAGGATGTCTCTGATTTATAATTGTCTGTTTTTGCTTTGTTGTGTTTTATACTGTTATTATTTTTTTACACTGATATATTATTTGTTTCTACTATATTCCTGCTATCAGTGAAACCATCCAATATTTTTCCTTTTCCTTTTGGCTTATTTCACTACATAGTTCACCCATTTAAAATGTATAAATCAGTGATTTTTTTAGCATGCAAATATGTGCAACCATTACTACAGTCAATTTTGGAGCATATTCTTCACTTTTCTTAAAAGAAATCCTAAACCCTTAGCTATCATACTCCTTTCCCCCTGCAGCTGGTATGGTTTATATTACCAAATTTAGTATCTCTTAAGTGAAATTACATGTCAGTTTCAGTATCAAAAAAATAATTTTCTGGAAAATATCAAAGAGACTAGCACAGTATAATGAAAAATGCTTTAGGTTTGAATTCAGATATAGGCCAGTCAAATCTCAACTCTACTACTGGTTGTGTACCGTTGGGCAATTTATTTAAATTTTGTAATGTTTAATTTTCTCGTAAGTCCAGAAAAAAATGATGATACAGTACTTCATTTTGAAAATATTGTTTGGCGAATTTGATTAGGTTGAATCAGTAAAGTGCTTATCATAGTACCTGGTGTACTATAAGTGTTCAGAAAATAATGACTGGTATATTTACAATTGAAAGGAAGGAATCATTAACAATTTACTTTGTTTCTCTCATTGGTGTTATATGTGGATAATGTTATCAAAATAATCAGCAAAAAAGAAAATATTTAATGTCTCATGTACTTTACATAAATTCCCACTTTTAATACTAGTTTTATTGATATGGATTCTCTGAGAACAGTTAGAATTTTGTTAATTAAATTCTTTACATACAAAAAGCAGTACATTTCTCAACAGGAAAATATATATATATCCTTGAACCATATTTGAGCAAATCTAAAAGCTTTTTGTATCAATTATTTTGTACAGTTTTGTAATTGAAAATCTCTGAATCCTTAGCTGGTTCTCAGACTATGAAATCAACTTAATCCTTGGCAGCTACTCTGCAGAGGAGAGTGGGATGTGCAATGGGAACTTTCTATAAAGTTGCATAAAGCTGTTACAGTACCATGTTTTAAATTTCAGATTTATTACACATTTAAAACATAGTGTTTTTTTAAATTCTAAAATGATAGCCCTTATGCAGTAAGTCGTAAAAAACCAAACCAACCTCCGGACTTGATTTTGATAAAAGGAAAATTAATTTTAGAATTTCATTTGGTTATACCATGAAAAACCAAGTGTAAGAATTTGTTATTCTGTTATTTAGACTATTATATAATATAAAATGAAAATTATTTTAAAAGATTGAATCTTGCGGACCTCCCCTGGTGGCGCAGCAGTTGAGCGCTCGGCCGCCGGGGAGGGTCCCACACAAAAAAAAAAAAAGAAAAAGAAAAAAAGATTAAATCTAGCACTTTGAATTATATAATTGTAGTTAGCCTTTATAAAGCTGAAAATTTCTTAGCAATATAAAGTTCTGTTTCTAATGTTACTATGTTTTAATTTTTTTCTAAGTACTTTTCAGGTACTTAGTTTGGGTAGTATTTTGACCTCACATTTCTGTTAAATAGTGTTAATAATTTGAAAATAATGAACTTTGAGGTAACAAGCTGTTTTTATTTTTCTCCACCTATAAGCTGTTTGAACTGCTAGGACCTGATGGATTTGAACTTATTGAGAAGCTCCTCCAGAACAGAATTACAATTGTGGATAAATTTCTTAATTCTTCAAATGATCATAAGTTCCAGGCTCTTCATGGTAAGAAAGTATTCAGTGGTAATTCTAATATTATGGAGAGATTCATTGGTTAGTGAATATTTTTTTTAATATACTATTGATATATTAAAGATTAAGACCTTTGGTCTTATCACATAGTTTACTGATACCATTCTTTTAAGTGAATTCTAAATATGGCAGATTATGAAGTAAATATAAAGGAGCTAAAATAAGATGTGGCAGAGATTCTATTTATGTTTGGGTATTGCATTTTATTTTATTGTAGATTTGAATAGGAAAATTCTTTTTAAAACAATACCTATAGTACTTGTTTTTTTCATATTTTGTTTGCTTCGCTTCTTTATATTCCCCACATGATGAAATCATACGGTATTTTTCTCCTCACTTACTTCTCTTAGCATAATTGCCTCAAGTTTCATCCATTTTATCACAAACGGCAAGACTGCATTGCTTTTATAGCTGACTAGTGTTCGTGTGTGTATATTTATTCATATTCGTGTGTGTGTATGTGTATGTGTGTGTGTGTGTGTGTATATACCACATTTTCTTCATCTGTTCATTCAGCCATAGACATTTAGGTTGTTTGTGTATCTTGGCTATTGTGAATAGGCCTACAATGAACAAATTGGTGTATATATATCTTATCAAATATGTTTTCATATTTTTTCGATAAATACCCAGGAGTGTAATTACTGAATTATGTAGTAGGTATATTTTTAATTTTTTTTTTTTTAGGAACCTCCATACTGTTTTCCCACTAACAGTATACAAGAGTTCTCTTCTTCACATCCTCTCCAGCATTTCTTTTTCTACTCTTTTCATAATTGCCATTTTATCAGATGTGAGACAGTATCTCATTGTGGTTTTATTTGAATTTCCATAATGATAAATGCTGATAAACATCTTTTCATATTTCTGTTAGCTATTTGTATTTCTTCTTTGGTGAAATTCCTCTTTAGAGCCTTTGTCCATTTTTTAATAAGGTTATTTGTTTTTTGTTGCTGAGTTGTATATGTTGTTTTTATATATTAGACATTAACCTAAAGATTTGGTTTGTATTCTCTCCCACACAGTAGGCTTGTTTTTCATTTTAATGATGCTTTCTTTTACTTGTGCAGAAGCTTTTTAGTTTGATGCAATCCCATTGGTTTATTTTTGCTTATGTTTCCCTTGTCACTGGAGTAGAATCCGTAAAGTGATCATTATGATCAATGTTAAGAAACTTATCTATGTTTTCTTTTACGTATTTTATAGTTTCATATCTTATATTCAAGTCTTTAATACATTTTTCTTTCTTTTGTATATGGTATTGAATATGCCCTTTTTAAAAAAAGATATGAGAGCATTTTACTATGTTAACTTTTGGTGAGAAGAAAAATGATTTTAGTGAAGATTAAGTCACATCTGAAATTTATAAAATAATGTTTCTTATATTTGTTTTATAGACAATTGCAAAAAAATTTTAGGAGAAAATGCTAAGCCTAATTATGGTTGTCAAGTCACTATTCAGTCTGAACAAGAAAAACAGTTAATGAAACAATATCGCCGTGAAGAAAAAAGAATTGCCAGACGAGAAAAAAAGATTGGAGAAGATGGAGAAGTTTCTGAAGGACTGACTTGCTTTGACCCAAAGGAACTGCGGATACAAAGGTAGTAAAAATCAGAAGCTGAATAATGCATGTGTTTTTGTTTGTATCATTATTTTTTACTTTAGTTTTAGCAACTTAGATGAATTTTACTTACAGTTATTTTCTTACAAGAATAGAATTTTGTTGTATGAAACTAATTTTCTGGGATAAGGAAGCAGTGATCTGCTTAATTGGAATATTCTTGGTTGCATTCATGTATGTAAAAGATGTGCATTATAAAGGTAAACTATTTTTAGGTGCTGTACACACACCACTAAGTTAAGATTTATGAAGGTTATACAAATTTATTTTGAGATTCATTTTCTTGCTTAATGAATACTTTCCTCCATGTTGTTATTTAGAATTAGAAAGGAGAGAAATTAAACAAAGGCATTATTGCACTTGGTTTGTAAACATTAAAATCCATTGTATAAAAGGAATTTATATCTTGTTTAACATCTTTGATTGTGACAAACAATTGGTTGTGACAAAAATTATAAGCAGAGAATAGTAAGTCAAACCTATCAGATAGTGCTGTCTAAAAATGTATTGAAGTCTATCTGGTTAACGAAAAAAACTTGAAGATTGCTAATATCTTCCCTTTCATAGTTTGTAATTTCTTTTTTATACTGAAAGACTAGCTTAAATGGTAATAGGGACTTTGTTTTAGTATATGCTTTGTTTTACAAGATAAAGGTTTTGTATTTAGCCTATGATTTTTGTATTTACAGAGAGCAGGCACTTCTGAATGCTAGAAATGTTCCAATTCTGAGCAGGCATAGAGACATGGATTCTGAAAAAATACGTTATCCTCATGTTTATGACTCCCAGGCTGAAGCCATGAAAACATCGGCATTCATTGCTGGTGCAAAGGTATTTCATTTGTTGCATGTGTCTCTTTTGAAGAAATGATACATAAGTTTTCCTCACATAGAACAATTGTTTTATTTTTTAATTGTTCTTGGATTTTAATTTTTGATGTTTATAGATGATTTTACCAGAAGGAATACAAAGAGACAATAACAAGATATATGAGGAAATAAAGATTCCCCACAGTGAACCAATGCCACTTGGCTTTGAAGAAAAACCAGTGTACATCCAAGATTTAGATGAGGTAAGATGATTATGGAGTTGATATATTTGAGGCTTATATGTTTTATGAATAAATTTGTATTAAAAAATTATTTTTAACAGTATACTAATATAGTAAAAAGACATGTAGTTCATTATTAAAGAGCTAGAGAGGGGAGTTTAAATTTTGAAAATATATATATATATAGGTTATTTTAGCTAATACTTGGTTTAAACTGTAAATTGACTTAAGTAAATGTTTTAAGAAATTGATGTGTTGATATAGCAAATGGTCAACTTATAATAAAATAAAATTTTATTTGGGGAGGGGATCAAATTCTAAACTATTTTCTCTCAACTTTTAAACTTTGAATGTCTTTCAAAGCTATAGAAAAATTGCATGGGTAATAGTATCTATACACACTTTGTCTCCACTCACTATTTGATAAAATTTTCTTTATCTCAAAATACTTCTTAATTAAAGTCAATTACTTCATTACCAAAAGAAGTTGCTTTATTTATATGTATTTGAGTCATACTTAGTCATTCAGAAATAGCAAATAAAGCAGGCTAACAAAAAGAACATCATAAGGAAAACTATAGCCAATCAAAATTAATTCCATTTCTATACATATATGTATTTAGTTTTATCAAAAATGGAATTATACCATCAGTATTTGTGGGTGTGTGTGCATGTACTTTCATACTTATTTGTTAAGAGAGATTTTTTTGTAGCATAATTTTTAATCACCAGAGGATATTGCATTTTATGCCTTTATTACTTTGAAAGCCATTTCTTATTGTTGAAAGTTAGACTAAAAGTCCTAAATTAAGGTGCTAGCAGATTTCCTCCCTTCCTACCTGGCAGACAACCACTTTCTCACTGTGTCCCCATGACCTCACCTGTGTTTTTCAGAGAGATCTCTGTATCTCTTCCTCTTCTTTTTAGGAAACCAGGCTCATTGTATAGGGCTTCACCAAGATGATCTCACTTAGTCTTAAATAATTCCCCAAAGGTCCTGTCTCCTAATACAGTAATTTGGGGTTCAGACTTTTAATTTGTGAATTTGGAGGATGGGAGTTTTCGTTTTTCTCAAATAAATGCCCAGGATTGCAGTTTTGGGGTCATATTGTAGTTGCATGTTTACTTTTCTAAGAAACTACCAAATTTTTTCCTAAAGTACCTTTTTATATTCCCACTACCAGTTCAGTGTGATCAGTTTTTCCATATACACACCAAATGTTGTCACTATTTTTCATGTTTATCTTAGCCATTTTAATCTTTAATTTTACATATTATATACTATTATTAAACCAGTTTGATAATATATAGAGATTTCTCTTCATGGTTTTAATTTTCACTGCAATAAATAGCAATAATTGGGGAATAATACTATCAAATGCAATGTGTTAGTGTAAATTAATGATTTTATATCATTGCTTTGCATAATGAATAAGCATAAGTAGTAATACAGACCTCAAGAGAAAATATAGGTCTTAACATAATGTTAGTTTAGTAGTTGCTTCTATTAACTTGCATTTTCTTTATACTTGTTAAAGTCTATGTCTATCAGGGAAAATACAATTGAAGATAATTGTATCTTTCTCTTTTCACTGAAATCATAATTGCATGCCATTCCTAACAGTCCTATAGAACTCTCCATAAAATAGTTTTATGCCCTCTTCATCATTTAAATTTTCAGATTCATTTTCTTGTCTTAAAGCACTTCTGTAATTTGATTACAAAGAGAAGCAGAATCTAAAAAAAAATTAAATGGCCAAAATGCTGTTAAAGCTACTGAATGGGTTTTATACTTTTTCTTAGAAAGACAATAATCTAAAAAATTTAGAAAGTTTTCAGTATAGTCAGGTAATATTGGTTATTCCTATCATGTTTCTGAATAAATCTTTTCATTTTACTTTCTTGGGGAAACACAAATTGTAAATTTAAATTTAAGGAAATAATTTATAAATCCAGTTTAATGCTTGTTTCCCCCATAAATATACGATTCTTACATCATCTATTTAATGGAAATGATATCTATATTTTGGTATTTTCTGAGGATATTTCATTAAACATTTCAAATTTCCATTGTGATCATTCATTGAATGAATTTTGCTACCTTTTAAATTTGTTTATATTTATTTAATGACCCAGAATATTGTATATCTTAGTAAATGTTCCATAAGCAATTGAAGAAAATGTATATTCTTTTATTTTAAATAAAATATCAGTAAGATCACATGGGATGACAGTTCTGTTCAAGTCTGTTATAACCTTGCTGATTTTCATACTAACTAGTTCTAGCCAGTAGGAGAGGGATATTGAAATGTCTGAGTCTAGTTGTAGATTTGTCTCATTCCTTTTGTATGTCATCAATTTTTGATTAGTGTATTTTGAAGATTCATTATTAGGTATATAAACTTTTAGGACTGTTATGTCTTATTGACCAGTTGACTTCTTCGTCATTATGAAATGACTACCTTTATCCTAAGTAATATTCTTGGCTTAGAAATCTGTTTCTTTAGGATATTAATATCACCTTTGCAATTTCCTGCCCTTATACCTACCCAGTGTTTTATTTACTCTTAGACATTATAGTTTTAATTTCTAAAAAGTTTTTATATAGAAACAGTTTAGGAAAAATTATTTAACCATTCTGTCTTAATTTTCTTCTCTATTACAAGTCCATAACAATGGTACTGTACTATAAAATTGTTTTAAAGATGAAATAAGAAACTATTGATATATCAAAGTGCTTGCAATTGTGTATGTTGTAGTGTAAGAGTAAATAATGTAATCTGTAATTGTTGTTCCTGCTATATGGCTGCCTTTTCAAAAAAGTACGTTCTGAAAAATCCATAACATAATTGAAAACAGAGTATCTTACTGACTTATATACAAGGAAGTTTCTTGTTTGCACTTTAATTGGCTGTCTACAATCTGAATAAACTAGAACATCATCATATTTACTCAAAAGTTATCTCTTTTGGGCCTCCCCTGGTGACGCAGCGGTTGAGCGCTGGGCTGCCAAGCTGCCTGCAGCCTCTGCAGCGCCAGTTCGATCCCTGGCCACCAGCAAGGATCCCACATGGCGGGACAGACCTCTCCTGCTGCGCCCGCTGCTCCCATCAGCAGTGTGTTTCGTCAGTCTGCCTGTTCTATTCCCTGCTCTGGCTCTGGTGAATTCTCTCACCCTCCCACGCTTCTGACTGTACCCAGTGCTTGTATAAATAAATAAATAAATCTTTTTTAAAAAAGTTACCTGTTTTGTTTCTTACATTATTAATTTATTGTTTTGTAGGATTATGCACAAAAATACAAGTATAGTCTCATATTTTTCAGATTTAGTAAGCAATTCTAAAGTGATTTGTACAATAGCTCTGAGTTCTTAATTGCATGTACATCAGTTTAAAATTAGGGTACTTTGAGAATATAAACAAGTTTGTTTTTCTTTTAAATTAAGAAAAGTAAATATTTGCATTTAATGTTTTATATGGGTCTTTCAAATTATCGTCATTATAATGAGTCACATATCTTTTCAGGTTGGGCAGCTGGCTTTTAAAGGAATGAAGAGACTCAATAGAATTCAGTCAATTGTATTTGAAACTGCCTACAACACCAATGAGAACATGCTCATCTGTGCCCCTACTGGAGCTGGAAAGACCAATATTGCAATGCTTACAGTTTTGCATGAAATCCGCCAACATTTTCAACAAGGTGTTATCAAAAAGAATGAATTTAAGGTAGGAAATTAACAAAGCAGACAACAGCTTTTTAAATTGTACAACTAAAATTATTTTGCAGTTGTAAATGTTTATGAAATCTGAAAGTTTATAAAAAGACTGTACACTATGTCATGTAAGAAATGCTGCTTGATTTACTTCATTGCTAGTAAGAAAGCCCTGTTTGTGTTATGAAAACCCCATTGTTCCCGTAGAAAGCTATGAAAAGGCATTTAGCTTTGAAGCAGAACCAATTTTCAAAGTGATGGGGCTGTATAAACAAATTTCATTGTCCTTTAAACAGCTGTACACTTTTCCAATGAAGATAAGTACTTTTCATATATCACTATTAAGATTTTTCACATGAAGTGGCTGGAATCATATTTCACAATAAATTGCGACTTGTACTGTCTACTGTGGAACAAATGACATTGTAGTTTTTGCCATTTATCAAGCTACTGTTTCTTTGGTGCAGATTGTATATGTTGCTCCAATGAAAGCCTTGGCAGCTGAAATGACAAATTATTTCAGCAAACGTCTAGAACCACTGGGCATCATTGTGAAAGAACTGACTGGTGATATGCAATTGTCAAAAAGTGAAATTTTACGAACTCAGGTATGTTATATACTAAATTTTTTGTTTAATGCCATTTTTCTCAGGTAATTGTAAAACTTATTAAAAAATAACTATATCATAAGTAACTGTTAAACATAATACAAATGTAATGTAATGAACTTCTTTTACTTGTTAGCACAATCTACCCTACAAAAGATGTTTTGCTGATGCCTTATGTCATGGTGTCCCTTCTGACTGCTATGATTCTGACTGTATTCTGAGTATTGTTAGGTTTCTGGTATATATTTTAAGTCTATTCATAATAAGTATTTCTTGTGTAAAACAATAGGGAACAAGGATGTGGGTAAGACTAGACTTCACTTTTTTAATGGCAGGGAAATAAATGTTTCTAAATGATGCTGCTCATATTTTAAAATGGTTTAACATAATAAAAAGTTTTTAAATATTCCTATTTCATCAAATAAGTTATAAAATCATGCTTTGTGTAGAGCTTTATATTAGGTGAGAGGAATGACAACAAAGACACTTGAAATGTAGTTTCTGACTTCAGGGATCTTACAATATGATGGGATAAGCAAAATCCATGTTAAAACTACAGCTAGATTATTATTGAGGAATATAACATATAGTAAAATAATGTTAATAGTGCTTTTAAAAAATAAGGTAACTAATGACCAAATATTAATGGGACATTTCAGGGAAATTTGGTGGAAATAGATGAAATAGTGAAATATTAACTAATGAATGGACATTGATTTAAAATGTGATTGAGGTTTTATTAGTGTCCCAGGACTGCTATACCAAATTGCAACAAGCTTGACAACTTAATATAACAGTTCTGGAGGTCAGAAGTCCTGATTCAGTGTCAATAGGGTTAGTTTCTTCTGGATTCTCCAAAAGAGTACTTTTTTACATATCTGTCTCCTAGGTTCTCTTGGTTGATGCCAATCTTTGACATTACTTGACCCATAGACACTCCAATCTCTGCCTCTTGTACATTTGGATTTTTTCACATGTCCTTTACTCTTTTCTTCTATGAACACTGCTCTTGGATTTCAGACCCACTCTAATTCAAATAGTCTTATCTCAAGGTCTTTACCTTAATTATATGTGCAAAGGCCCTTTGTCAAATAAAGCAACATTTACATATTCTGGGTAAAAATGTCTTTTGGGGCACCAACATTGAACATAGTACAATGGGTATGCCAAGTACGTTGAACCACATAACAAAGATGGAAAATTGATTTACAATAGATAAGATATGGAAACAACACCAGTGCCCAAAATTAGATGACTGGATCAAGAAGATGTGCTATATGTACACGTTGGAATACTATTCAGCAATCAAAAAAAGATATACTCATGCCATTCACAGCAACTTGCATAGAGCTGGAAGGGATTATGCTCAGTGAAATAAGTCAAAAGGAAAATGAAAAATACCAGATGGTTTCACTTATAGGAGAAATACAGGGGAGCCAAATAAGGGATTAGGGAAAAAAATAATAAATAAAAAAAATAAAATTAACAGACAACTATAAATCAGAGACATTCTGCAGGAGAGGGGGGAGGAAGAGGGATCAAAGCGGGAGAGAAGAGCACAAGGGACTATGGCGATGGTGCACAGATAAATTGGTTGTGGGAATTTTACGAGGACTATACCTGAGAGGAAAAAACAAATATTGTACAAAAATGAACAATAATGTAAAATATATAAATAAATTAATGAAAATAATTAAATCTCCTCTACAACTTCTTTTAAAAAAGATGGAAAATCAGCTCACAATTACATTTGGGGGTTTATCTGGATGGATGCATTATAACCCACATTTTTGTCAATTTTATCGGCACCTGGCATAGTAGAAGGTCTCTAGGAATAGTTGAGTCCTCGTGCAACTATTTCTTAGTTAGTTTTCTTGTCAATAACACAGTTTTCCTTTCCTATACAAATTGACTTCTTAAGCCTGCATCCTGACTGTGGTTTGGGGGTAAAATGAAGAAATACCCGGGTCTATCAGTCTGGCATTCTTGCCAACCCCCTTTCCCTTGGATAATTTACTGTTCTTACTGCTCGTATTTTGATCATCGTACCTGATATGTATTTAATACTATTAGAGTTTAAAGATTTATTAGTGAAGACCAGATAACTATTTCAAAAGAAATTAGAAAAAAATCAATGATATCTTACAAAAGCAAAATGAAACCAGAGAGACTATCAAATTCAAAAGCTGTGTATAGCAATAGAAACTATTGTTAAAATAAAAGGTTATGTTCTGAATGATAGAAAATATGTGCATATCATGTACCTGTAAGGGTTTAATATCCAAGATCTCTAAAGAACTCATACAGTTCAACAAAAAGGGCAGAAGAACTAAATAGACACTTTTCCAACGAAGACGTATATAGATAACAGGCACATGAAAACATGCTCGTTATCACTCACCATCAGGGAAATGCAAATCAAAACCACAAGATTCCACTTCTTTCTTGTGAAAATGGTTAACATCAAAAAGATCAAAAAAGGGGCATCCCTGGTGGCGCATGGAGTTAAGTGTTAGCACTGTGAAGCAATACGCAGCTAAGGCAGCATGAGTTCGATCCCCGGCCAGGGAGGTGACCCACATGGCACAGCAGACCTCTCCTGCCTTACTCGCTGCTCCCCTTAGCAGTGTATTTTAGTTAATCTGCTTTTTCTGCTTCCCACTGAGCCTCTGGTGAATCCTCTCACCCTCCCTCCACTTCTGGCTTGCACCCCAGCTCTTGGATGCATAAATCTTTAAAAAAATTTTTTACAAATGTGTTAGCAAGAATGTAGAGAAAATGCAACTCTTGTACACTGTTGGTGGGAATGTAGGCTGGTCAAGACCCTGTGCAAAACAGTATTAAATATTAAACATTAAAAATAGACATACTGTATGATCCAACAATCCCACTCAGGTATCTACCCAAAGAATAGGAAAAAAAAAAACACTCATTTGAAGGGCTATGTGCTATCCTATGATCAATGTAGCACTATTTACAATAGCCAGGCTATAGTACTGGTACAACCTTACTGCTAAATGAAAGATGAGTGGATAAAGATGTGGGATATATACACTATTCAAGTATTAAAAAATGATACACTATTCAAGTATTAAAAAATGAAATAAAAAATGAAATAGCTGAAATCTTGCCATTTGCTTCGTGGATGAAACTGGAGAGGATTAAGCTATGTGAAATAAATCAGAAGGAGAAAGATCCTGGATATGTTCACCTATCTGTGTAATATAGAGAAACGAAACAATGAAACAGATATGACTGAAAAAAAAAACCAAACCCTAAAATGTGACTATAGAATTGACACTACTGGAGGGAGTGAAGGATGGAAAGGAAAGGGTGGGAGTAGACCCAGATAACTATAAAGAAGGAATATGGGTGCTTTGGTGGTGGGTGTGGTATGGTACTGTACATCTGAAGAGGTAGGGATCCTTATATCATACAGTGTTGTAATCCAGTGTTACTTGGTGAAAAATAGTACAATTTAAAAAACAGAATAAAGTTCTCTGTTAGTTTAGTGTTTAAAAGTTGATAATTTTCAGCTTGTTTGCTCCCTTATCCTGAAGGGATCTGATTGTTATTAGTGGAGAGTTCTTTTGGTAGTCATTTTCTACCAAAGGGACTTGTGGGATTCTTAGGAAGACATAAAGCTTAGGAAAGGAAAAGGGATATAGTGTTCTGTTGTTTAGAGAAAAAAAGCTGTCAGTGATTTTAATATACCTAATCCATCTCAGATTTAAGAGTCAGTACTCAGGGAGGTGTTAAATAGTGCTCTAACCATACCAATAGATTTTGAAATATATGAGCTCACTTGAAGGCAACGTAAAAGAGCTTTTTTTGCCTCTTCACTCTTCCTTTGTCTTAGTATAGGAATCCATGTTTCTTCACACTTTTATGTAGCTTCAAAAAGCTCTGCCTCCCACCTCCTTACAAGAGATCTGCCTTGTTCCTTATTTTAGACATTTGGAGGCAGCTATTATGCACTTTCCCTCAGGATTTTGGTTGAAATGATTGAAAAGATGAAATGTTTTTAGTAGCATTATGTCTGTTTGCTAATTTTGATATTATGGAAGAGAAAGTATTTTTAGTATTGTAAGAAAATACTACATCTAGCCTGTTCTGGTTTACTTTTTTGGGTCTCAATGGTAATTTCTTATTTTAATAAAATAATGACTTTTTTAATTCTAGAGAATTTTTGAACTGAGATATAATTTATATACAATAAATTCACAGATTTTAAGTAGAGTTAGATGAGTATTGACAGATGCATATATATCTTTGTAATTCCCAGAATTAAGAAATAAACTCTGTTACCTCAGAAGGTCCCTTCTCATCTTTTTTCTGTTCATATTCATTCCCTTGTTAATTCTGTAAACATGGGGCATGTGTTTGGCCTCAAATATAAATTTATAAATTGAACTTCCTCTTTTGATTTTACTTTGATTTTACTATTCTATTCCTATATAGCTTACTATCAGTGATACTAATTTTTGTAGACCTGAAAATAGTTACTAACCTCACTTTGTCCCATCTATCCTCACAGATAGGTTAATAGACTGCTCTGCTATCACTGACCTTTGACATAAGACTATAGAGAGAATAAAGCAATATTACAGAGCATATAGGAATACAAATGTAATCAATTTTTATATTTGGAGTTTTAATTTTCTGCTTTTCCTACTTTTTCTACTTTTGCAATTTTAATAGTTTTTTAATGATTCCCAATTGTATATATTTTTGGTAAATAATTTTCCTAATAATTACCACAATTAAATAAAATATAACCTTGATTTTTCCCTGTCATCCAAAAAATTTTTCAGTATTGGTGGTTTATGACTTTTTTGTAATAATATGGGAAGACAAATTAATCTTATTTGCAAATTTTCTGTCAAGGTGTTGTGATCGTATTATTCCCTTGCTCATAAACTTTCATTGTTCTTTATTGCTTATTGAATTAAATCCAACTACCTAGCTTGTTAAGAATCTTGTATAAATTAAGTATAATA